GCAAGTCTTAATTTGAACTGTTTTCGGACTGATTAGAATTCTTAGTGAGCAAAGACAATGGCCAGTTAAGTGTATGCAGGGTTAGTGGCGAGCATTGTTTGTTTTTGAATAAAACTGCTATGTTTTGTAGCATGAATGTTCTTTGTCGCTTTGTCTGCAATTGTATATAATACGAAAGTACTCGTTTAATAGGGCCACGACAAATTCTCCCCCAAATAACCCCTAATACATTTTACTTTTAATACCCTTTTCGTCATTATAAGGTCGTCAGTCCTAAAACTGGTTGGACACGTACCTCCACTTTTCCCTATCCTGAGCTAATCTTTGCATTTCCCTAAAATTAGAACAGCCCACATCCTTAACTATTTGCGAACAGTAATCTAATCTAGGTCTACCTCTACCCCTCCTAACTCCCATTTCAGCCACTAATATGTCTGAGTAGACCTTCATGCTTGAGGAGGTGTCCTACTAACATATCTTGCCTATTTCTTATTGACTTCCATAAAGTCCTCTGTTCTCCTAGTCTTTCTAATACCTCTTCATTTCTAACCTTCTCTATCCACGGTATCCTCATCATTCTCCGGTAACACCATAAATTGGAACGCTTCTAATCTTTTCTTTTCTGCCGCGTCCACTGTCCATGTTTTGCACCCGTACAGCGCCATTTCAAACATACACCTTTAACAACCATTTCCGAATTTCTAAATTAACCGTTCGCGAGCATAAAAGTGTCTTCTTTTTATTCAAGGCGACACGACCCTGAGCTATCCCTAGCTTTATATCCCTACTACTCCTTCCGTCCTGACTTATCTGACTTCCTAGATATCTAAAATCAGCCACTTCTTCTAATTTTTCGTCTCCTATCGTTATATTCGCTCTTTCCCTAGTTTTTCTTCCCTTGCATAACAGTATTTTGCTATTATACTAATACTTCTATATCATCTGCAAATCTAAGCATACTAATCTGTTTCTCCTCTATATCTATTCCTACACTTGTACTGTCTTCAATGATGTTGATCGTGTCTTCGATGTGTAGATTAAAAAGTAGCGGTGACAGTGTGCATCCCTTCTTACTGCTCTACGTTGCAGCCCCAGCTCTATAACTGCCTGTTGCTCTTTATACAAACTAAGTATCACTCTTCTATCTCTGTAACTCATCCTTACATTTTTAAGTGTATTTAACATCTTGTCCCATTTAACATTGTCAAAAGCTTTTTCTAAATCTACAAATCCTACGTACGCATTTTTTTCTGTTATTCCAGACTTCATAAATAATCCTAATTTGCATAATTGAATTTTAAAACTTCCGAGTAGAAAAATTATTTCTTTTTACGTTAAAGTGACAACAATATATCGTCATGGGAAAATCCGAATAATTAAACGTGAAATAATAGCAATTGTTTCGTAAGAAATGATGGTTATTTTCTAAAAATACATATCTACCATAAAATCACAGTTGTGTGAGAAAAAACGCCATGCATATCTACATTGTACATGAATTAATTTCACAGGCTATCTTCCCGACTGTATTCTTTTACTGTTTCAACGTTTTGGTAGCGATTGGTGTTGTGGTTTGTGGAAATTTCTTCGTCCGTTGGTATAATAAGTTGTTGGTCTTGGTTGGTAGGTATTATCGATACACCAAAAGAACTGGCCTCTGTACCATTAAGATGCCTGGCACACACCAGGCGAGTGCACCACCTCGTTGTTCTTCGTCCTTTCTTACATACGGCTAATGCAAGTCAAATAATCTCCATTGAATGAAATTGCCGATGGCAATGTTCAGCGGATGTGCTCATACGCAACACTGCTACCTCCAGCTGAGTTATTGTCAGAAAAAAAAAACCGTCAACTTAACGAACGGCAGACTGTCAAATTGAGTCCAAGTTACAAACTTCAGACTGGAACAGGTACAGACCTGAATATCATTTACATTCTTACTTACTGTTACTCCAGCAGTCACGTGATTCCTCCACCATGTTGAAATCCATGGAACTGGGGACATATTACGTTCCCAAAACTTTGAAATTGTATCGGCCGTTATGGCCTCGAGGTTTAGACTACCTCCATTAATGGCTGATGGGGATGAAACACCAAACCAAAAGTTTTAGTTTTATTGAAAACATTTTTTTGGTATGTATTTAAATGAAATCATTATGATTTTTTCCCAAAGCTTCGCTCAAATGAATCGTATCCTTATTATTATGTTCCTTCTGCTTAGGAACCTTCTGCCTTACTCTTTGATTTCTCCCTAGTGTGGGAAGTAAGATACGAGATTTTGTTAAAACTGTTCACAAAAATCATTAGGTCTTTGATAACCATAAGCTGTGTTTTTAGAAATGAACACGAGTTTAGCTATTTCGATTGTATCTGTAATTAGGGCTCAGTCTCGTTTAATTATTTATAATGTGTAGCAGTTTTACTGTGATTTTGTAATTTCGAAAGTTTCTAATGACTGATCTGACTTCTGACATTGTGGATGTATGACACCATTATTATTTATGTTTCGCAAATGAGTGTAACATAAGAAGTTTTCAAACGAAACAAGTTTGCGTTTGTGAGTGGTGAGATTTAAGGAAAACTTGGAAAGCTGTTTTAACGTCTGACAATGAGTTAAAACTATTCATAGGTTTAATGTTTCAAAAGCAGTAGCAGTACGAAGAACATATTCGCTTACGAGGTTCGCGTCTGGCTTATATAAGTATTTGTATTCATCCTCCTTATTAGCAATACGCACGTCAGGTAGCGGTAAGAACTGTCAACAGGTCGATTTTCGATAAAATATGCCCCATTGTTTCTTTATAAAATCCTGTACACTTTTACAATGATGATTTATTCCCTTTCGATCGGCAGGTTCCACGCAATGAATAACAACGTGTATTTAACAACATGAATTATTTGACAACTATTTAAAAAACCTTAAACGAAAGTTTTGAAAGACATTTCCACCGTCAGGACTTTCTTAATATACAATTTTGCTAATTAACAATGAAAAAGGAAATCCTTTTCGTTTCGTTCGTTTATAGGAATAAAGTGGCACACCACATTGTTCAGATAACTGCTGCTAATGACGCTTTTTTAGGATAAATTATTTATTGGCAAGTGAAAGAGGAAAAATGCTACATGGTTAATTTAAAACAAAAGAATGTGTGATTACAACGGCCATGAAATTATCGTTTATTTTCTTGCATAATCGCATATGATATATGCGCAGCTGGCTGGTTTACATTTTAACGGAATTATTACATCAAAAGAACAAAAAGCAATTGTTTGTCGGATCAATTAAACTTATTTTTGATTTGCTCTTAATTAATATCTACTCTGATGATGCAATAATATCGATTACAAGACGTACGTGATTTTCCGCATTTTTAATTAAACATGCCGCGATTGATTTGCGTCCCTAATAGTTAGTTTTTACAAGGGATACTCCCGAATTGGCTGTCACCATTATAATCGTCATTTTTAGGTCTTCAGCCGGAAAACTGCATAGACAAGCGCGTTTTCTTACTGCGTTATCTGACTCCTTAAATATCGAAAAAGTTTATGTCTCGAAAATGTGACCAACTAATTTAAAATAACGATCTTTAACCTTTTTAAACTTTCGCCTGTATCCTATCCATACCTGCTACCTTATTGTTTTTTGATTATTTAATTGGCTATGCTTAAGTTTAATTAAAAGAAGTTCCAAAGGCATCGTTAAAGAAGTGCAGGTAGGTATTGTTGCCCCTCATTAGGTTTGAAAAAATTTGATCAAATGTCAAGTCATTTTACGTTAAATGTCCCCACGATTTTATGTTTTCTTTCGCTGCTAAAGTAAACCAAAAAATGAATTCGAACTTTGACAACAATTTTGGTAGATTCAAGCTAACGTAGCGGACTTAGTGGAATAATTCAGAAGAGGGACGCTCTTGGGCGGTTTAGTAGTTTTTTCTTAGCTAAGTCAAGTAAAGTCTAGGAAAATAACGAGAAATTGGCTTGAAAATCGTATTATATTCGGAAACAACTTAGTAATATTATTATCTATTTTAATTTTATTTAAAATTTCATTCCACTTAATTTGAGAATATTTGTTGCAATTTCTTGTGAAGCAAACTGTACGTTAGTTATATTGTTAAAGTTGTAATAATATAAAAAGTTACAGGTTGTTGTAATAACGTTTTATTTAGTTTATGACTGTCGGCTTTGTTAAAGTGACAACAAGCGATGGTATTGTTACAATTTTTTGCTGTAAACCCGGTCTGTTCTAACATTTCGGTCGCTTTTTCTTGACAACGTGTTATTAAGAAATGCGTACAGATACGTCGAAATATTCAAGTGGCAAAAAAAGTCAAGTCTATTATGGATTCTTTTACTTTAAATAGCTTCTCTGTTAACGAAGTTTTTTATCGTAGGCACTAGGTACATCTGAAATTCTCTTCGTTTTTTTACGAGCAATCTTTAGTCTACAATCTACATTATATACTTTCTGTAACATTTGTTTTTAAATAAGCCTCCGGTTTCTTTTGTAAACTCGAGCACTCTCGACTATTGAAAACTTTTTTAACCAATCGGTAATGATCCTCATTTTTGACAAGACTAATTCATTAATTTAAGACTTTAGGTACAAGATGAAGATCGAAGATTAAATCAACAAAAGCAAAATCAACTTGATAAATAAAAAACCATAATGAAATACTTTATTAAAAAAAAAAAACTGAATAGGAAAACTGAGGTTGTAGCGATGGGCCCCCTGTTTCCTTATTACATCTCATTTCGTCTAGTAGCTGGAAGTCTTTGACAGACATAAAAGCTTTGAAGTTATTATTTATTAATTATTATGCAGATCATCTCCTGAAAGCATACTGGGATATACCGTATCTTGTGATTAGCAAAATTAATGAATTAAAATGATTTTTTGAAGATTCAGCGGCGATCGTGTGGGTGTGTGGAGAATGCGTACATTCACTTATTCAAAAAAAATGAACAGTAATTTAAAAGAACGTTTTTTTCTCTTCTAGTTGAGGGCACAATGGTGCGTTGGTGTACTCAGGAGCGGTGAGTTTTCAGCCATGAGCTATAGCGATCCGTACAAAGAGCTGGAGCTCTATTTGGAACAGGCTGTTGTAAGTTTATTACTTTTTTGTTACTTTATTTTTATTTTTAATATTTTAAAATGGTTAGATAAGAATTGTAGTGATAATAAAGGCAATTCAATAGTATCTATAACTTATATTTAAGTTCTGTTATCATTATCCTAACTAATATTATAAATGCGAATCTCAGTTTGTCTGTTACGATTTCACGCCTTAATCATTCAATCGATTATCATGAAGTTTTGTATACTTATTGACAGGGGTACAGAAAAAGATATAGGGTACTTTATACAGAAAAAATACTGTTCCCGAGGGATGGAAAAATTTATTTTCATTTCGATGAAGAAGGATCGTATTTACTGTATGTTTAACCCAGAAAATTAGAAACTCTAGTTTTATCCTGAAGATCCTAGTCAGGACTTACGAACACATTTATCAAATTATTCTGTTTTCGATGATCTTTAACATGCATTTAGGGCATACATATGATAAAACCTACTTGTTTTTATAAGAAACCATTCATCAGAAAAATTTACATGAAAAATAAGGATAAATTTGATAAAGAAAAATGCTCTGGAGTTTATACACTAACCTGCTCCAAAGTTTGTATTGGACAAATGGGGAGAAATTTAAAAAACCTATATTTGAGTTGTCATAGAAAAAGTCAGTCATTTAATTATAAGTTATAAATTTTTACGTAGTAATAATAAGTTTACAAATTAAGCTGTTTTGATCTAGAAATCAATAAAGCTAAAAACAAAGTTGGTGATTTATTTTAATTGTACTATAACTCCTTTCAATTGTAAACTACTTAAGAATGTAAGTTACACTTAATATTTGGCATTAATTACTCATTAAATTTGTTGCCTGGTTCTTTTTAAGTCGATTGTACGTTTTCGGTAACAGCTTAAAGATTTCAGTGTCTATTTTGTTATACATACAATGTAGAAATCTTCCCGAAGTGAGTTAGTTTTAATATGAAATATTCTCAATTTTTTACCCACTACACACTTCCTCAAATTACGCGCCAATGCTTTGACCAGTGTGTGTAGTGGGTAAAAAAAATTGAGTCTATTTTGTTATAATCGAGTATCGTTCAATTTATTCTAGCTCAAGGTTTTGCCGTAGGTATAGGTATTTGAATGACACTTTTACTCCTGTCATTGTAATTACTGTTAGACCCTTTATTTCAAATCTATTGCGGTCAGTCCTCTTGGTTGAGCATTATCCATACTTGCGTCTATTAGTCTATAAAGTATTTAAACGAATCGGTAGCCTGATCGCCCGATGCTTGAGTTGTCCTCGCGCCTTCACCATTTTCAAAATGGTAACAATGCAGCTGCTTTATAATTAACACCCCCATGTGATAATTTCAACTAACTACATGCTAATTGAGACGAAAACCCATACAAATATATACATATACACTAATACAGTGGCGGCTCGTGATGGAATGATGCGAGTGTATAGTTACACATAAAAATCTAATTGTTTAGTATGTATATGTGTAATGTGGTAGTATATGATTAATCTCGTGTTGTAAATGTTCAAGAAAAATAAATATTCGGAGACTTGTTCAGATGTTACATTAAATATGTTTTATTGCTGCATTAGAAATGACGTAATGGGTCGTGAGAGTGAGTTTTGTGTGGTGTGAAACAAGTGTAATTATTACTTATTACCCGCAAACGTTGCTAATAAATACTGCTATCCTGTTTCACGTTGTGTTATTATTCTTTTGTAAAGAAGCAGATGTTTCAACTGTGTTCTTTATCATGCAATCGAAGGAGCGGAAATACATATGTTTTGGTTCTTTAAACAACACACAGTGCATAAGAACAATAAACCGATGTATTTACGTAGAGTAAAAACGAGGCTCCGATTTTTAATTGTTTTACAACACTAAATAAACTTTGGACGTATTATGTACAACAACAATTTATTAATAGATAGTCGTTTTACAGCGACATTCTTTTTTAACGTTGTTCGTATTTTAGTTCGTTTTTGTCGTTAAATTGTGTAGCTTTCAGCGAGGCAACAATTGCATCAATTTGATTGAATTAATTTTGAAATGTCGCTTTATTCTTCCGTATCAGTGAAGATCAAGTGTTCTGGGAAACAAAACTGGGACACAAATTAGCAAGTTCGTTCAACTAATTAAATTGTTAATCTTCCGGAATGAAACATTTTATTGACCCGATGAAATGTCAGTATGATTAAAATACAGTGTCTGTTAAAAAATTGTCACACATCAGAAGACTGTTTAGTGATTATGTCGTGTATATTATAGCAATAACAAATGTAAAAAGTTTTTTATAAATATCTTAAAAAAATAAATACATAGTCGTTTCTATATTCAAAAATTAAAAGGAAATTACTGTTGGTGTAAGATTTCCTTGGAACACAGTAGTTTCCTTTTTTAATTTATGCAACTGTTAATTGCTAATAAAACGTTAAAGTCTTTTGCATTTGATGGTTCTGGTCCTTCGAGCCGGATACGTTGTAGGTATTTACACATGTTACTGAGTGACGTCAATGTTTACGAAAACAATTTTGCATGGTACAGGCGTTTTGTGTGACTTATGTCAGTATAAAATTTAGGCTCACGTAACAATTTGAAAATACCTTATGGGACAATTTGAATGTACCGCGAAGCGAATAAGTCGAATGGTGTGGGCAGTTAAAGTTTATGATGTAAAATTAAAACTGCTTTTTAGGATACCAAAATAAACAAGTTAAAACAAGCAGAGATCGACTTATGCCCATAAATAATATTTTTATTTCTTACTTTCCCGTTTTCGGTAGCTGTCTTGGTAATAGTTGTCCATATTTGTGAAATAAAAAAAAATTATAAACGTTTAAAGAAAGCGATTCAGTAAGTATTTACACAAGAAAGTACCATTTTTTGACAAACGTTAGAAAGTATTAAGTTTGAAAATATTATATACGGTTTCATCCTGAATTAGTATAACAGTTTTATTTATTTGTTTATATCTGCAAAAGATAGTGATTATTATTTATGGGGAGTTTAATTAGTTATTTACTTGCACTTAATTAACTGGAATAAAGAAATTCTTTGGATTCCACAGCTTTCTATACAAATTATCGCTGTTTTCAGATCATTTTGAACATTATGATGATTTTTATTGTGTGCTTCAGCTGATTAACGTAAATAAATAAAAAAAATGTTTTATTATCGAATGGACAGAATAGGCAGTAATCTATGAGCTATTTTTGCAAACATATATAAATTAAATGCTTTTACCATGGTACTATCATAAACAAGAGTTCTTGAATCCTAATTGATATTACAAATAGCCTAACCTAACCGAACCTAATTAATATTACAAATGTGGACGTGAATTTGTTTGTTACGATTTTATGGCTTAACTATTCAATGGATTATTATGAAATTTTGTATACACATTGTCAGGGGTACAGAGAAGGGCATAGGGAGGGTACCTTTTATTCAGAAAAAAATACTGTTCTGTTCCCGAGGGATAGAAAAAATTCTTTTCATCTCCATAAAGAAACAACGCGAGGGAAGCCGAGGGTAAATTCTATTAATGAATAAATAATGGAAAGAAATTAGAAATAGAAATTAATGAATTAAATAATTGTTCGTATATTCATTTCAGAAATAAAACTCTAGCAACACTCAGTTGTATCAAGTATTCAGGTTTAAGTTTCGTTACTTCCTTGCCTAATCCGAAGCTAAATTTACTTTGAAAAATATGGGACTGTGTAGTAAATCTAGAAGTGGCAATATTTTTGTAACCGTACACCCCTTTCCGGTTATTTGTTGAACAGGAAATGATTTTCAAACCTTCGGTGTAACTTAATAGGGAAGTATTTTACAGAGACATTTGTAACACAATTTACGGCTTAACTCCATATAACAAACTTCTATTTAACAAAAAATGTAGAAATTATTTTGACTGGTTGCCTTACTTTATTATCCGTCATCTGTTACCATCATCTACTCGTAAAATTATGTTTTTATTTTTTCTATTCTCAATAATGCAATGAAAAATTTAATTTCGCTTTACTGATAAGGCACACTGAACTGAACTGAACTGAACACTGAACATAGAAATTATACATTTCTTTGTTGGCATTTTTTTTTTAAGTATTTGCATATTTGGGTGAACATACGAAATATATTTTTTTTCACCACGTCTATTTGAAAATATACATTGTTTCTCTGAAAACTATTCTAAACCAACCGTATTTTAGATATAACTAGGTACTGGATTAAAAATAAAATTATGTATTTCATTAACAACAAGTTAATTTTGTATTTTAAGAGAAAGTAGAAGTAGTGTATCTTTAATAAATAAAATCTCCTTTTTTAGGTGTATTTACCGATAAAATTTCCTTATATATATTTAGGCAACGTAATATTAATTTTGAATTTATAATTCAGTTGTTTGAATTCTCAAATGTTTGGAAATTACTGAACATCTGCTCTGTAATTAACATTCTAATCGTGTATTAACTAAACGTACAGTTTCAAATTGAATATTAACTGATTAAAATTCAATTGCACCTCTATTATACCGTTTATAATGAAATACCTCTTGCTTCACAGGAACAAAAAAACAGCGGGTTAAGAAGTTTTTTTTAACCCGTTAGTTCTTTATAAGATAATGTTTATACAATTTACAATTTAATGTGCACATTCTTACAATTAAATAGACCATTTGTTTACACTTGTCTTTTAAAAGAACACCATGTTCTTGGCCAGCATATTGTTTAGAATCTTTTTTTTATTTAAACATTCTGTTCTCGCCGTAACAATCTTCGGTGAAATATAAAGAAATTTTGGTAAAAAAAAAACTAGAGAAGAAAGACAAATCTATTACAACATGGTTCCAATAATAAGAGTCAAATCGCAATTCACCCCTGATAAATTATTGACCAAGAATTTAATGTTCATTAAAAGTTAATTCACTTTTTTTATATCCTAACTCTATAATTACCGGGTTTCTTTGTCTGTTTTTAAAAATAATAATTTTATTGTATTTTTAAATTTTGAACATTTTACCTAATTGCGTGGCGTTTTTGAGCTACGTTAATAAGTTAAATATGAAATGATTGTTTTAATAAATGTATTTATTTATTTAGACATCCTATTTGTCGATATTTGTTTTTTTTTGTTATGTTCATTAAACTAAATAAATTTGAGTTGATTTTTCGTTTTCTTTCCTCTAGCTGCCTGAAATGGTGCATCATCGTCATCATTTACATATCTACGGTCTCTCATATCGTTTGGAATAGCAGTATGACTTTCATCTTTCTTTGAAAATGCTTCAACTTTCTTTCCTCTTGTTATAAAAAACAGTTGATTCATATAATCTGTGTCGGTATCGTAGTCCTTTGCTGTGACAATCCATTTTGGTTCTTGAACATAGAGAGGCTCTTGGCGGTAGATCTTATCTTTTTTGCCCCTGTTTGCCCAAAACGGTCCAAGCTCGTCTTGGGTAACTGCAACTGCCCTTTTAAAGCAGGAAGTTGTTGCACACGAGCCAATATTAAGCCACCCTTGTTCGTGACAACCGACACCCTGCAAACAATTCCGTCTGCCCCGGCTGACCCAAAATGGAACCTTGACGTCATTCTTCTTAAGTAACATTACCACATTACGGTCGGCGCCCTAAAATATACATACATAGATCATTGTCATAAAAGACAAATATATAAAGGATGGTTCTGTTTAGGGGCTGCTAATGTCAATTATAGAACCTTTTAAATTTAGCATGAAATAGGCGTTAAAGTTTGTCACTGAAAAAGCTCCGAATTCTTTGGAATTTTACGAAGGAATTCATATACTGAACGTTATTATAAAAACGAGTGGAGGCATTAATGGCTACTTTTGTCATCACATATACATATACAATGTTCTCTTTCATTTCATTCAACTTTTCGGTTTTAAGGGAGGCTCCACTATCTAACCACTGGAGTCAGTAGCTGAAATGTTACGTTACATTACTTTTTTTATGTAAAATATGACAATTATTATTTAATCTTTCGTCCATCCATTAACTACGTCTTTTAAATTGGAATCTTCCCTCTTGGGTAACATGTTGTTGGATCTCCCTCTCCCTTTCGTAAAATTTATTGATTGGATGAATCTTTTTTTAATATTTGTATATAATTCTTTGAACTAAAAAGTTGACATGAGATTTTTCGATGACTTCCTGTTCCCTTGGAATGGACCCGTCCCTTCCGCCTCGTTTTTTAATTCAAGTAAGTTGTCCCGTGTCCCCTTTAGATTGAGGTATGGTTATCAGTATGTATAAGCAGCAACTTACTTCGAAAGGCAAAATGAAATATTACACACATAATTTGATTAATTGATTAACATTAACTAAGAACGCTTTCATTTTCCTTTTTATTAATTGATCTAAGAGTAGTCGTAAGTTTTAAGTTCCCGTGGTAATTTTGTGGGTTGGAGAAATTTTTCACTTCGTAGGAGAGTGACATAAAAAAATCGCTTTAAGCGAGACTTATTCAATTATGTATTTCTTTGAAAGTGTTTCCTAGAAAGTACGTAATTAATTATTTATTAATAGGTAGATCATTTACTATTTTCGGTCTTGATACTGCCAGCAGGCCGTTGATGAAACATAAAAAAAAATATTGTTGCCCAAACGCGAAGATAACTGTCCTTTTTCGTTTCTAAAATACGGCCAATTACTCTAATGTTACTTACTTCCCTTATATTATCATAAAAACCTAATTTATATTCCAACCGACTGAATAGAATATTAATGAATGTGTACGTTAACTATTATTAAAACTTTTTTACGGCAGTAGTTATGTCATCTTGACTAATATAGACGGTAATGTGTTAGTACAATTTGCTATAAAAAAATATTACCTACCTGTATTGTCAATCGCGTTAATATCGATAATACAGTCTGTAATATTATAAAGAGGTGATTTTATCAGTATATGGTAATTTCTATTCCAACCGACTGAATAGAATATTAATGAATGTGTACGTTAACTATTATTAAAACTTTTTTACGGCAGTAGTTATGTCATCTTGACTAATATAGACGGTAATGTGTTAGTACAATTTGCTATAAAAAAATATTACCTACCTGTATTGTCAATCGCGTTAATATCGATAATACAGTCTGTAATATTATAAAGAGGTGATTTTATCAGTATATGGTAATTTCTTGAACCACTGAACTTATTCTAAAAATTGTTCAAGTAAAAGTAAGCTAAAATATCNTGCTCAGGTACTTTTAGATTACCTTACTAAATGTATGCATTTTCTTAATTCCATTTTTTTAATATTATAAGTGTGTTCAAATCGTCATATATTAATATTTCAGATATTCTAATATTTAATTTAATTTTTAGCAATTGTAGTAAATGTTTCTTAAATATAGCAAATACAATAACATACGTGACATTTAAAGTTAGCTATAATTTCGAGAAAATTCGTAGTTTTTAGTAAAGAATCTTTTTCACTTGCAAGATTGCGTGAGATATTCGCGAAAATGAAATATCGAGGTTAATATTTTAGAATTAAAATGTGGAGATTTACTATTTTTAGTACAAAAAAAATTGGTAGCAGCTAGTTGATGTAAGATACTAACAAGAAGTTATTATTTAGATATCGCTTCAAGATTAAATATGATCTAAGTTTTTTGTATTCACAGTTTCGTTAAATTTGGTCAACAGTCAAAAGCAAGCATTCACATTATCAGAAATAGACGAAATGATAATTATTGTTATCCAAAATATCACAAATATTTTAAATCAGAATTAAATAAAAATTGTACAGACAAAATGATTTAATAAGCAAATGATTTTCTGTAACGTACCCTGCATATAACTCCTAATAGGCAAAAAATCGACAAATACAAAACCACTAGACTTCTCATTGCTATAATAGTAAACTAAGGTAGGTGAACCATTCCAGGGTTTAAATACAACAATTCCACCACCACAAATCTTTATTCTGCAAAATTAGTACAGGGACTTTGGGAATATCACATGGTACATACCTGCATCAAGTCTGTCAACATTATGATTAGAAAATGTTTTTGATTCGCTTCGTTACTTTTAATTTCCACAATATTATTTCTACTTTACATTTTTTTTCGTTTCTACTGTTGCAGGAAGAAATCACAAAAGTTTTCGAAGATTGGAATGGGGAGTGTGAAAATTTGGACGTCCAAAAACCGAAGGAGGTCCCAAGTTTGTTTCCTAAAGCTCCAGAAAAAACTAACGGTTTCATTCCATCCACGGATCTGATAAACAGTGAGTTTCTAACGTTGGTTGGCACTGATGTATTCTTATCGAAAAATCCGCCAATATATTTATGAAAAATCGACCATCCGTCTTATTCAGCGAATAATTTCTTCAGGCAAAAATCAGTCTAAAATAAATCGGGAAATAGGAACAAGTGGGGTTCTCCGATTTTATAACGCATACCTTTTTGGGGATTGATAATTTGTCCCTTGATAAGAAAAAGAAAAAATGCTCTCTTTCAGGTCATAGTGAACAATTTTTATAAAAAAATTGGCAAGGATTTTCTAGGGCTGAACTAAGTGTCTGAAGATGAAGGAGACCCTTTTATATGATGATAAATATCAATGCCTTTCCCGTCTTAAAAGTACTATTGGAACACTTTATTAATCCCTGAAAGTGTTATCATGGCAGGGAAACTAACGTAACCTTACCAAACCTAACCTAGCCTAGTCCAATTACTATTTTTGGTGACGTTTTTTTATAACGCTAGATTACATTCGTTTACGTTAGATTTTTTCGCAAGATAACACCGTGATTTTGTCTTTTAGGGTTAATAAACTTCTTCAATACTACTTTTAAAGCGGGGAAACATATTTTTTGCTGTCATAATATGTATTTTACGATGCAGGGGGTATTTGAGTTTCTATTTACGTGCGATACAGTTCTACCCTGAAAGGTAGTAAGTATAATATTTCTTGAAGTAATGGCAATTTTTTTCTTCATCCCTGAAAGTACATTAATGCTCAGTATGATATAAATCTACGAACACCTACATATAAATAATAGCAAAAGCGATTATTTATTGCCATACAACTTCTAATTTATTTCTCTAGATTGCTTTACTTCTGCCATACACTTACGAGTTTATTACCTACCTATCTTTTTTCATCCACATTTAGGTTTATTGGCAAATTGGTCAGTTATATTTTTTATTACAGATCATAATGATGCATCCAATGAATCGACTGTTAAATATACAAATGGTGTTACGAATGGAGAAAAGGTAAATTTTTCAGACAAATTAGATAATGGTCTTAAAAGTACTAGCGAAGAATCAGACGTGGATGAAGTCTCCAATTGCAGTGATGTAATTATTAAAGAACTTAATGGTTCCCTGTCTACGATAAATTGTTCGGTAAGATAAGTTAAAATTAAATTATAAAAATAAGCTAAAATTCTAATTTTTGGTGAAGGCGTCGTATCATTTTTATTTTCTTTCTTGGGTAATTGTATCGAAAGAGGAAATATTTAGTATTAAAAATAAGTATCTGTATTAACATTATTAGGTAATTCCCTTGTACATACATATAAATAAATATGATTTCTGGCGTTAAGTATTTATTTTATGTTCATTTTATATGTCAACAGCATGTATTATGTAAATATATTCTCATGATATATCACGTTAATTCTTCGACCACATTTGGAATGAATATTTTAAGATAATAATGGCTATGTTAATATTACTAACTTTTATCCTTCAAATGTTTCTTTAATATTTGATATTTTTAAACGGATTAACAATAGACTTACACAGTGGCGTATGAAGGGGGGGGGGGCTATGGGGGCGCTTCGCCTGGACGACGGCGCAGTGCTGCCACTCAGGGGCGGTAGATGCCGTTCATTTGAATCTGTAGCACGTTTGGTAATTACTTAGAATTGGGGCTGCCGACAAAACTCACTCTAAAAAGTTTTCCATCCTTTGGACACCATTTGAACGTAATATGACTTGGAGTAGTTGTTTAGGTTGTTAGGTAGGGTAGGTTTGTTTATATTAAAAATATATCTCTCGCTTTAAAAGTAATGTTCGGACGTCCAAAATGACCCTAAATAAATAAAAAAAAATTGGAGCAGTTTTGAGCTGGAGCCCCAATTTTAAATACTTCATCATGATAAGGTCATAAGTCCTAAGACTGGTTGGACACACCTCCATTCTTTCCTACCCTGAGCATTTCCCTAAAACTAGAACATCCCGCAACAGTAATCTAATTTAGGTCTACCATTACTTTTCTTAACTCTTGTTTCTGCTTCTAAAATGTCTCTGACTAGTCCTTCATGCCTGAGGTGTCCTACCAACCTATCTCGCCAATTTTTTATTGACTTCCATAGTCCTTTGTTCTCTAATCAGCACTTTTTGACCCCCTTTGGCCGCCACTGGATTAATGTATACCCTTTTGTTGAAATATCCTTTTGCTTTACGAAATGTCTCCATAATTTTTCGTTGTACTCAGCTGCACTACATGGGAGGAAGTTTACAAGTTTGCAAATATGCATGTGCATATCGAAGATTTATTTTAGTCATTAATGCGTTTGTTTATAGGAAAATATTTCATTTTATTTATTAAACAAATCAAATGCTGTTTCTTTTAAGAATTGCCAAGTAGTGGTTTCATGCAGTAAAATTGTTGTAAACATCGTGTATTTTTGTAGAAATGTTTTTGATTCGAGGAAGTTTGCTATTTATCAAGCAATTGTAAAATTATAAATGTTATAAAAATACGTCGGTGGTTTGCCGCTAACTTCCTAAGAGTAATTTTGGATTTTTTTTTTCTGTTCTGTATTTCAGTAAAGATTGCTTTTACTATTCATTATGCAAATGTTACTTTTATAATATACGTCAGTGGTTTACCACTAACTTCTAAAGATCTTCAAACTGGTATTAAAAGATTGTACCATTGACGTACGAGTTTTTTAGATGTGACCATAATTTTTAAATAAAATAGGTACACTTAATATTTTTAAGGAAAAGTATATTTTTTTTAGACTTACAAGGTCAATGGATAGTTTTCCTCCCTGGCTGAAGAGGGGGGGGGTTAAAAAAAAAAAAAAACAATTAAATTATTAAGTAGGATGAAAAAAGTAATGTCCTACTAAAAAATACATATCGTTACACTATTTATAATCATTTTTGTGCAAATGTTTTGGTTCCATATTTTTTGGTACTTATTACACGACAAGTATAATACGAGGGGGAACCAAAAATAACACGTACATCAGTGGTTTGCTACTGGTATTCTAACGTCCTTCTTTATAGTAATTTAGGTCATTAGGTCATTCAATGGTGTTTGATTTTTGATAATACTTTTATCTGATTTTGGTGAAAGTGATTTTTAATTGATGCAGGAACCCTGTGAGAACCAGCTGAACGACATAACCAACATAATCCAGCACACTGCTACTCAAACATCACCAACTCCATCGAACAGTTCGACAAATCTAACATGGGTGTCGGATTGTTCGTCATCACCATGCTTAACGACAGCGTCAGAGCCCGACCTGGTTGAGGAAGACAATAGGTCATTTTCATCGGTGGATGGCACCGAACCGTCGTCGTTATCAGTGGGTGCGTCGGCGTCTTGGAAACGGCGTCACCAGAAGGAATTATGGAACAAATCGTCGTCAGCACCTGTGTTGAAAAAGGTAGCCCCCAAGGTTAGTATAGCCGTCCATGCGTGTTCCACTTTGTACTTTATTGAGTTACATACATGAGTGGTCATGCATAAGCTGTTGCTTGATTCCAGGTGAACAAGCAAGCCCGCTCTCAGTCTGATCGACATTTAGCTGGTGAGTGTTTCGACATGTCGATACGTGTTAGGGAATACAAATTTTTTCGCAGCCTTAGTGTTAAAGTTAATGATAACTGGCCTGTTAGAAAGGCCGAACAATTATGGAAACAAATGCGAACGAACAAGATCGCAGGTTGGTTAGCGATATCACCAATGCATGTCCGGATGTACTACCCCTTCTACCAGTATTAATTACATTTAATCCCCGTCTAGTTAGTTTTTATGCCATCAACCTCGAATTCCGTGTCTCACAATGAAGTTTATTGTATAATAGAAATATAAATTATAAAAAAAAAGCATTCCTACACTTATATTGATCCTTCATGAAGTACCTACCCAAATCGTCNTACACTTATATTGATCCTTCATGAAGTACCTACCGCAAAAACTTCTTCCAACTCCACTATATGTGCACAAATTGTTTTAATTGTAAATTGTTTGAAATATCTTCTCCAAAAAAAAAAATAATTTTATACTAATTGTAAGTAAGCAGCGCATAGTTTTTATTAAAGGCATTAAATGTTAATAGCAAATTTATGAAAATTTAATATATTTATAATAATTTTAATTTCCAAAACCTCTGAAAGACGCGGTCACATTTATTTTTTGAATGAAATAATTATATTTATCAAAACCTTTGATGCAGAACTATTTTCAATTTTGGTTGATATTATTTTATGTAGTAAATGAATTAAAAAGAAATAATTGAATGTTTGGTATGAACCCTTACAGAGATCGAAGCAGCCGAAGCTTGCAAATGGCTGCGTGCTGCGGGATTCCCACAGTATGCACAAATGTACGAAGGTAAGAAATTTTAATTAAAACTGTAAAGAAATAATGTATTTGAAGAAAAAGCAGTGTCTGCGTAGTTTCGAATAAAATTAAATAACAAAAAACAGGTATTTGTAAATGTCACCAACAGAAGTTTCAAGCACTGTCCTTTATTCAAGGAATTTAATCATTTCGCAAGTTTGATAGATTAGGTTGATTTACTGAACGTATCTTCCTGAACATACTTATAAGGGATTAAATAGTTTCATGTTCTATATAAGAAACCACGTACAAGATTACTATTTTCATATTTCTTGTGAACTGATAAAGAAATGTGTTACTAAGTGTTACAAATTAATGTTTTTTTCTTCTTGGGGTAAGTTATTTCTTTTTCTTGCATCGCCAGAGATGCAATTTCCTGTAGACATTTATGCTGCTCAAGAAGATCATCCCTTATTGGAACCTGACGTGCTACATTCTTTATTTCGACGCTTGCAAGTGTTAAATCGTTGTGCAAGGGTCAGACAGCATCCTACATCACACACTGACGATTCAGAAGACGAACAATGTGCTCTTAGCGATAATTGGACTTACCAAAGTGACTTGAGAAGGTGGTCGAGAAATTGTCAAAATTTGCAAATTCGTACGTATATTTGTATATTTATGGTACAGATGTAGAATTTTTTTTTGTACAATAGCAGCAAATATAGAAGAACAGGTAAATAAGGAATGGTGGTGTGCAGCAGCCCCTAATGCAAATAAAGAAGAAATAATTAATGAAAATTTAAGAGAGCGATCTAAGGATCGGCTGCGAAGAGCCGCTTCTTCAATTAAATTTCGAAGGCGCCGCGAAGGAGTAATAATTAATGATAATGGCTCCAATGTATTGGATGCATTATCGAAACAATTGGTGGATATGCATTCCACAGATGAGATGCACCTTTCTGACACGGAATGTTCCCGAACCGGGAGACGGAGAAAAACCCGATCGTTAGAAAAAAAAGATTCTTGGCCACATCCTGCCTTAGACGATTGTGACAAGTATATTTTCAATAAAAATAGTTTCATACGGAGTTATATATATATCACCACTTTTCAGTGTTTTATGGCATCGGAATGTTTGTCACTTGGAAGATCAGTCTCCAATACAGTGTCGATTAAATTTGGAAGAAGGTGGAAAGCCAATTTCTAGTCTCTCCTGTACCCAAATGCAAGTACTTAGAAAATTAGCTTTATTGAAGCTTACAGCTCACATGGAAAAAAATTGTCCGACTCATAGATCAGGTTGGAACTGGGAACTTCCCAAATTTATCAGGAAAATGAAAGGACCAACTTACAGGGGTGCGACAATTTTTTTTGTCTTTATAAAAAAAATATTTTAATTGAATAATTTACTTTAGATAAATCCATATTTGGGGTACCATTAACAATAATTCTTCAGAGGACGGGGCAACCGCTTCCCAAAGGGATTCAGGAAGCTCTGGAGTGGTTACGACAAAATGCTACGGATCAAGTTGGTCTGTTTCGAAAGCCTGGGGTTCGTTCTCGAATTCAAGCCCTCAAAAATCTTGTTAATACTCAGGGGGAAAATATTAATTTTAACGAGCATCAGGCTTATGATGTGGCTGATATGGTCAAACAGTATTTTCGCGAGTTACCAGAAGCTTTGCTCACCAATAAACTATCTGAAATATTTATTCTTATTTTTCAACGTAAATGACATCAGTTATTATATAATTTTTTAAGTTAAAGGCAATTATTTTTTTTTGTAGATGTCCCGCCATATCTTCGACGTGAAGCTGTAATATGTGCCCTTCTGCTAATGCCAGACGAACACAGAGAGGTGTTGCAAGTCCTTCTTAGTTTTCTAGAAAATATTGCATCTTGTGCGCCAGTTAATCAGATGAACGAGAGTAATTTGGCCCTGTGCTTCGCCCCTTCGTTATTTCAATTTAGTCAAACTGTTCAAAACAGGCAAAATATGGGTACTCCCCACCCCCGAGAATTGGCCGAAAACAAAGCAGCTCAAGAATGTCTGTTATACATTTTGAAGAATCGCAATATTCTGTTTAGTGTAAGTTTTGGTTTATGAAATAATAACAGAAAAAATATACATATATATCCTTTTAGATACCCAAAGAATTAATAAATCAATGCAAATCAGCTGAAGTCAAGGATAGCATTGCCATGACATTATCGGAATTGGGATCTGATTTTACAAACGGCTGGAGAGGATACCTACAAGAATGTCAATCAGCCCTTTTAAAGGAGACAAAAGAAAAAAGTCGTGGTTGGGTTCTTGTCAGTAGTCATCACTACAAGGTGGAATTGGCGTACAAAAAGGTCGCCGATGGACATCCCTTAAGGCTGTGGAAAATTTGCGCTGAAATTGAAGCTCCACCGGCGGAAGTGGTTCACAGGATTTTACGAGAAAGGCATATCTGGGATACTGAATTACATTCGGCAAAAATTATTTCTCAAGTAGACAAAAACTCTGAAGTATTTTGTTACGTTAACAGCAACATGCATGGTCTTCCTTACATTGATTATTGCGTTATAAGAACGTGGAAAATGGATTTACCTAAAGGAGCTTGTTCTATTGTCGAAACTTCCGTGGAACATTCTGATGCGCTACATATTCCTAATAGTGTTAGAGGAATTGTGCTAGCTTCAAGGTACCTTGTCGAACCCGGAGGTTCGGGAAGATCCAGGCTTCTACATCTCTCCAGAGTTGACACAAGGTAAATATAATTCAAGTTAAAAATCACTGTTATTCTGAATCTATTGTCTAAATTGTTTTATTTTATTTTTTTTTACAGAGGACGAATGCCCGAGTGGTATCATAAAAATTATGGCCATTTATGTGCTTTACATGCAGCTCAAATTCAAAGTTCTTTTCATCAAACAGCAACTGGCCCAGAAAGTAAGGTCTGACTTACCAAAGGTAATTCTCAATAAATTAGCGTTAATATATTATGGAACTATGGAAAATAAACTCCACAAAAAAGTGTGTGCTAGTCCGTTATGTTATTGGTGCTTTTAACCAAGAAATAAATCTAAACAGGTTTGTACAGGGTGCCAAAAATAAAGTCTGTAGTATATCGGTCTTCCAGGCCAGTATTATTTTTTGTACAGGTTTATTTTAACATGCAGTTAAAACGTTTACATTTATATTGTAAATATTTTGTGTACAAAATTTAAATTGGATGAATACCTGTTAATTTTAGAATATAAAACTTATTTCTTAAATAGGTATAGGTACATTTATCATATACCTACTTCCATTTCGATATATTTGTACAAAATATATTTTTTCAAACGTTGTACGTTTTTTCCTGATACATTCGTATTATTGTATCATTATTTAACTCGGCAACTTTAAATTAAGTTTTAAAAATTAACCATTTAATAAGTATTTGAGTTTTATGGTATATATTGTGAAATTGAACATGATCAGAAAAGTATTATTTATATATTGAAATTTTATGGTAATATTAAATACATGGTCTTTACAAAAAGTTAAAGCTTAAATATTTTTTTAATGTTTAAAGCTTCTAGTTTTACAAAAAACTCATAAAAATTGAGTGTTAATAATGCTTTCTTTATTATTTAGTTATTTCAAATTTAATTCTGTTTTCATGAAGTATTACATTCATCATAGTCTTTAGATTATTTTAGCACAATTCAAAATAAAACAAATAATGTGAACAAATTTATTTGCAACAAATCAGGAAACTAGAATACAAGTAAGGTAGCTACAAGTTATTAGTTCTTTATAATTGGTAACTGTTAACATTAAATAAAAGGCACTTACGGAAATTCAGTGCTTAAATCGTTATATCACAACGAAATTCTGCACTTTAAGCCGTTTACAAAAATAAATCTCTAACATACCTGTAATCTAGTATCACATATAAAGAATAGTAGAATAAATTAGTAACAGGCTTATGAGAAATCAAATCGTCAATAGCCTAAGAAAATATTGAACAGAAAACGAAAGAGGTAAAATATAACAGGCAAATTGTTTTAAACATCTTCATTCTTCAACCAACAGAGAAAACAAATCGTTAAATACCATATAACACAAAAATGGAACATTATTGGTGAAACAATAACAATTTTTTTTTTTAGTCTCAAATTGTACCCTTTACAAAAAGGTCTACAATGATACTTGTACAGTAATAGTACATGTACGCTTATCGTATTGATTTATTTATTTACGTTTTCTTAGACGCGAACGTCTTTTTCGAATTGTTTTCATCTGTTCAGTGGGGGGTATATCTGTAGGAGTGTTTTCAATAGTTTTAAATTTATCAAGAGCTCTAGTAAAAGGACGGGAAGTTTTAGGTCTGTTACCAGGTATGTCCTTTAAGGCGTACATAGAGGATGAGGAAGGAATTGCTGGTTGAATATTGAAGGTAACCGCAGGTAGGCTAAAATAAAAGGAAAAGGCTAAGATTTTAATGGCTGGCGCTCTCTGATGAGAGATCGATATTGGGGTTTGATAGTTGTGGTCTAGAATTAGTTCTCCTCATAGCTGGTGAAATGCCAGACAAAGGACTGCATATCAGTGGTCTCGCCGAAGAAGGAGAACCAATCCTAAGTCACGACCATGAAGCCCCAATATGAAGTCCTCCTGAGGCTAAAATATACTATATTCAGTTAGAAAAAAAGAAATAAAATACTCTTGGATATGTACCAAATGAGTACCAAATATACATTATTGTTATTTGCCGTTTATTATCCTGATGATAACCCTTTTGATTTCTACAAGAAACTATCATTAAGTTAATAGCTAATGATGATGTTCCCATAAAATTAAACATGCAATGAAGTTTTGATATGCGATATTATCATTTTAATACATCATATACAGAAGAATGGTATTAAGTAGTATATCATATATTATAACATTTGAAGGATAATAAAAGATACAAATAAAATTGTACCAGACAACATACTGTTACTAATACTTTAAAAGTTCAATTAAAAATAATCACTTGATGCCCATTATAAACGAATTGTTAGTTTAGACTTGCTGAAATACTGGTGAAAAGCAAAATTTACATTAAATAAGGACTTCATAATCCTTGAGAACAAATAGAAATAACCCAAAAAGAAATTGTAATCAATTTTTGGCAGTTTAGATTTTGTTAGTTAATTCTAACATAAATAATTTCTTTATAAATATAAATATTTA